TAAATAAATTTACTAGTTGGGCGAACAAAACTCATAAATGAATAAGTGGTTTATATCGGCTGATGTCATTTTGTGAGTTGTAACCTACAACTTTATCTAAGTATAGTTTGACAAGTTAAATATTGTTTCAAATTGGACGTGTGTCGAAACTGTCTGCACTCGTTGTCAACCATCACCATTAGGTCAAAGACCAAAATAACTTCTGTATCGCCTAAATTTTGAAATCCTCGCTGTACTGTATGCCACCCCCTCCATTGTGTGGCATTCTAATGGTAGCGAAAAAAATATAAAAAGTTGGCGTGATGTCTGCCACCGTGACTGATACGATAATCAAGAAATACAGTCATGACGATGGCGTATGTTGCCAATCTTCAGCGTGAGACTCATATTTGTTTAACATTGGACTTTAACTTATTATTACAGTAAGTTGATTGTTGTGGTTAACATTCGACGACAGTACTACAATCACGAGACTTCAACTTTTCCGCCCCCTATTGCATCATTTTCTCGAATTGCTTATCAGCATCTCCGTCAGCAGATAATCATGAGTCGGCAAAAAGTATCGGATAAATCAATAAATACCCCAACGGTGATCATTCAATCGTAGTCTGTGAGTTATATGGTACATCACGGACGTCACTTATATTTGAAGTGCGTTGACAGCTGTTACCACCCATTATCAAGGCTTATCAAAAAGACAACAGAGGGCTGAATATGCATAAGTTTTATTTTTGTCGACCATTTTTTTATCAGGCAATTTAAAATTAAGACATGTCGCCTAGAAAATGAGTTAGTTTTCGGGTCATTTTGCGGCGTTGTGTTTTTCAGCTAAGTTACGTCAATCACCGGACCGGACGCACCGAACGGTAACAGAATATTATTTATACAAGTAACCTGTAGAATACTATGTGGGTAATATTTTATATATCGATTTTTGTTGCATTTGCAGCAAATAATTACCAAACAATGAGAAATCTATAGGTTTGAATATACCCCACAGCTGGCTTCACATGCATTGTTCATAGTTCATATGGTGCTTACACCAGGATTTAATTACAGCACCTAGGCGGTATGTGGTTACAGCTTAATGTTCCGAGTAATCGCAAGAAATTGACACGACAATAGAAATTCATTAAAGACTGGCACTCCCATGCAATTAACAGCGAGTGAAATTCCTGGGATTGAATCATATATTTTGAAGTAACTGATGTAGGCAACGAATAACTGCAAGTTGACATAAAGACGAGGTAGTTTATTTAATCAGTGGTCAACTAGAGGCTGAAATTATAATTAATTTGTTTATTTCAATTT